AAATGCCTACGAATAGAATCGAAAGGGATTAAGACAGCAGCTCCCATATTTCAAACCCTATACATGATTCATAGTAACCATGGCCTATAAGGTGTTTTCATTCCTTACCGAGCCAACGCGGGAAACTTCATACATGGAGCCAGAACCTCAGAGGCCATCAGCCAGATTATAAAGCCAGGAAGAGGGCTGTCTGAAATGTCCATCCCAGGACAACAATGGCAGTGACAGGACACTTACAGCCCATGCGGACCCAAATGGCTTCCTTGGACGCAGCAGTCATCTCCCCAGACCTTGCTGCAGCCACGTCCCTCGTCTGCTCCTCCACAAAAGTCCCGGAGGCAGGGCCCCTGGTCTAGAATTGGCATTCACTACCTCTGATGATACGGCCATTGTGTAAGTGGGACACGGAGGTCTTTTATCACCATCCGGTCACTCGGTTACTTTCATCTTGCAGCACACACCACTACTCCTAACCTATCTTTCCTCTATTTTAGATGGAATAGTGCTCCCCAAGTGTAACACCTCTACCTCCCTGTGTGAGCTTTGACCCATAGCTTCCTTATTCCTGAAAGAACGTGTCTGTGTGTAACAGGTATAAATTGGCAAGCGTCTCTAGTGTGCAAAAAATACCCAGCTTCTTCATTTTGAACTCATCAATACAAATGCAAATTCTGTCACTGATTTGGGAATTCAGCCTCAGGCATAATTCTAATGGAGCTCCCCATTAACCTGAGTTGGAAATCCAAACGCACCAAAGCGTGAGGTTCCCTGAACCATAGTTTTCATTGACTCCCACCATGACGCCGACTAACTCTAGCCTGCATAGTCCCTCAATTTAGGTGCTTGTCTCCCTTCCGGGGTCAGCAGAGCTTTGCCAAAGGTGTTTGTTTCTCTCCTCGGGGCCCTATTTCCTCAGGCGTATCACAGTCATCCCCTCTGAAGTTTTCATCTCTGCAGGGCACTGCCGCTGAGCACTGCACATCAGTAACCTGTTATGTCTGTATGGCTGGTTTCCTTCTATCTATCTATTTATCTATCTATGTGTCTATCTATCTGTCGTTCGATCTCTATGTCTCTTTTCCACTTGCATAATTTTTGGGTGATTCATATGTTTATAAATCATAGGAGGAAGCACTTTAGGCAGCTTCTGCTTCTGCCCTGCCAGAGTCCATCAGGTAGGGAAACACTAAAACTCTGGACACTTGAATTAAATTTTTGGCAAGGTAGTGTGGGTCGCAGAATGGAAACGTACAGGGAAAAGAATGTATCTTAATTATCTTGATAGACACTATGACGTGAACATTATCAATCTCTCCTTTTTCATGGAAACCTTCCTCTGTTTCTAATACAGTAAAACCTTGGATTGCGAGTAACTTGGTTTCCAAGTGTTCTACAAGATGAGTAAACATTTCTAATACATTTTACCTTGGTAAATGAGAGATGTCTTCCAATACGAGTAGTTTGTTTCTGTAATGAATTATATTCGCAAACCAACGTATTACTGTATTTTTAATTAACAAAGAAAACTATCTTTGCATCAACCCCTCTTCTTTCAAACCAATAGAACTGCTCCTACATCTTCACCTCTCATTCCTTTTGGGACCCAGTATGAACTGTTCCCTACCTTTTATCCTGTTAGATTCTATATTAGCTTCTGACCCGAAATTCTGATCTTACCTCCCTTCTCTTCTACTTGTCTTTGATATTTGACTTCACTGACAATCCTTTCTCTTTAAAGTTCTCTTCCCATTTTTTAAAAAGATTTTATTGGGGAACTGGGAAAGGGGAAGAGTGTTAGGGAACTGGGGAAGGGGAACAGCCAAGTTGTTTTCCTTCAATCTTAGTTGTTGAGGGCGCATTTAGCTCAGCTCCAAGTCCAGTTGCCATCCAGCTACCCATCAGCAGCTTGCAGCCACTCAGCTCAAGGTGCTGTGTTCAATCTTAGTTGTGGGTGGGCATAGCCCACCATCCCATGCGGGAGTCGAACCTGCAAACTTGTTGTTAGGAGCACATGGTCTCACCAGCTAAGCCATCCTGCCACCTGCTGGCAGCTCAGGGCAGCTAAGCTCAGGTGCAGCTCACTGGCCCATGTGGGAATTGAACCGGCGAACCTGTTGTTCAGAGCTTGAGCTCTTAACCAACTGAGCCACTCGGCCGGCCCAGTTCTCTTCCCTTTTTGCTTTTCTGAAATGACATCATTCTGTTCACAACTTCTCTAACTCATCTCCTTTTCTCCTCCTTTAACTCTTTTTTTGTTTCTTCCCACATGAAATTCCATCTTTATTTCTGTCTTGAAACTGTATACCCTGTTCATTAATCAAAGAGTTGATTATTTTTTATTTCTTTAACTCACAACTCTCGCTGTTGACTCCAAATCTGGATCTCAAGGAGGCATCTCAGCATATTTCTAGCCCCATATTTCCATTTGCTTTATTAGGCAATTCCTCTTGATTGTTTTACAGTTATCTGAAATTCATATTCTACAGCTTTACCATGGGATTAAATCCCCCTCATGACTTCCCTCAATGTCATAAGCATTTTCATTTTCTACAGTATAAGGCTTTGGTCTTTTAAAATTCTCTTCTTCCCCCCACCTCCAGCTTCTATGCAGTGAATCACCAAATCCTATGATGCTTCCTTTAAAAATCACTTTTACTGGTCCTTTTTGTTTATTCCCACTCCTTCTATCCTATTCCTCGCTCTCACCAATTCGTGAATCAATAATGTGGACTTCTAATTGGTTTTTCCACTTTCAATTCTTCTCTCTTTCTGTACACATTAGAATCAAACTGTTTATCTTAAGACTCAATTTCATCTTTTCTCTATGTTACCCACAAATTATGTTATAGCCTCCTACTCTGCATAAAATTAAAAGGATAAAACCCAAATTCAGTCTGAATTTTAAAGGCCCCTTTATTCTCTAGCCATACTTCATTTTCTACTAATCCCTAACAAAACTATTGGGCTCTTTTCCCTAGAATATGTCCTGCTCACTGTCTCCCATACCTCCATGCCTGCCATCTGCTCTCTTCTCTTCTTCCTGAAACGTCAGCCTTCTCTTCTACCTCTCTGTTCATAAAGCCCAGTTAAGTCCTGTCTCCTAGATGAAGCCTTCCAAGATCCCTGCAGCCCATACCAATCTCCCCCTTCTATAAATTATTTTATTTTAATCCTCCACAGTTCATGTCAACATTTAGCCAGTAGTGTTTTTACTCCATTATGTTTTCAACATAATTAGAATAAGTCTAAGCTTCTTGTGCTTAAAGATATTTCACTTATTTCATTTATATCTGCTAACACCAAAGACATGTTTCCCTGCTGAGTTAATGGGAAATCTCTTCTTTTCAGATCATACCATGACTCTGTTGACTGAATACTATTCTGTATAAAACAGAATTTTAAAATGAAAAATAATTTTAAATTCAGTTTCTCACACTCTTGCCAGATACTAGTTTTATATCTGATATATAAAAGAATTCAACATTTATAGTCAACAGCATTCTATCTATTCTCTTACTTAACTCTCACATTCCAACAAAATATAGATGGCAACAATTGTAACAGATAAAACTTTTTGAGAATTATATGTCAGGCCCTGTATTTTCACATTTATTATCTCATGTAATTACATTTAATATATTATGTCATTTAATTCATTAATAGCTTTATCAGAAGGTACTATTATTATCTACCTTTAACCTATGCCACATGTTCTTATATTCATGACACACATAAGTAAAATTTATGATATCTGCCAATTTGTATAAGTACCTAGTCTTAATAGCTGGGCCTCTACATATCTTTATTACCAATGGAGTGAATTTTAAAGCCCATTCTGAGACAACTACCTTAGTTGTTTTTTGTTTATTTGTTCTTGTGCCCTTTTTTTTTTGGTGTGGGGGGGTCCAAATTATTTATTTCCTCTAATTAGGGCTTTAGTCTCAAAAGATTTGCTTTGATATTTTAATACTATGTACCATTTTCACCAAACTTGCTTTTTGTTTTTGTAATCTTTTTTTGACAAATTATGGTTATATAAAACAAATTAAGAGTTTGGGCTCCAGAGACAAACTATTTCTAAGTCCCCAGGACCCATAGTTTTCAATGACTCAGGCCTCTGCCCCTTATTAGCTCTGCCAGCTTTTGGCAAATTTCTTAATCTAAGTCTGAGCTTCCTCTATCAAGTTGGGGAAATTATAGTACTACTTGATATGACTGTTACAAGGAGTAAATAGGGTAAAATGTTTACAAGCACTTAGAATAATGCCTGATATGGTAATCACTCAACAAATGATGTTTTATTATCATCTTTTTTCTTTCAAAACATCTTTGGATACATATTATTTGTATGTATTCAAGAATACATACTTGGTACAAACATCAAGAATAAAGTTACCAAAACACCATTACAATGGGGAAGACAGACAATGAATTGAACAGACAGCAGAAAAGTAAATGAAGGAGACATTACATGTATCTTAATCAAGCAACTATTTTAGTTATTATACTTAATTGTACCCACAATTAATATTGCTAAACTAAAAAAACCATGGAAATACCAGTTCCCATATCAAGATATCAACACAAAATGCTAAAATAATTTGAGAAACAAGTATTCTAGTATAATTCTTAAAAATCCCACATTTTATCTTTCATAAATGAAGTTCAATACTCAAATGTGATTTATTAGGTAGCTACCATTTTATGACAATGTTCTGAAGTAAGACACCTAAGGTGGGATACTAATAATTCAGGAATTCATTCAATAATAACAGTAACATTCATTCAAAATAAGTTTTATCACTAATAATTTGTTCAATTTAATAAAGTCATTGAATCTTGCTAGTAAAAATAATTAGTATTAGCAGTTAGAATGTATTCACTCATTCATTGTTTATTAAGGGTTTGTTTAGCAGGTACTGTCCTAGGCATTGGACAATAAATATTACACAAAAATGGTTCCACTCCCTAACAAGCTTACACCTAGTAAAGATAATTAAATGATTTTTTTCAAAATTCACCAGAGTGCAATAAAGAACTTTATTATTATGACATAAGTATGAAATAGGGTATAAAGGAACAAGCCATCAATTCTTAGGTAGCTTATTTATTCACTAAATATATGATTGTTCATATAAACATTTCATTTATTGTTACTAATAGTATTATAATTACTAATATTAAGTTGTTACTGAGAACTGACTATATGCCAGGCACGTTAAGGGCATATGATATCAAGGTAAACAAAATAAACAAAAATAGAGCTCCCTGCCTCCATGGAGCTTACATTCTGGTAGGAGGAGACAGATAGTAAACATATAGAGAAACAAAATATACAGTATGTTAGTTTTGTAATGAATGGTATGAAGAAATATAAAGCCAGGCAAGGGTATAGAAAGTGCAAAGAAAATGAGAAAAAAGTCAAATTTGCCAGCTTCTGACACATATTGCTTTAAGAGGTTTTTTTGATTTTTTTTTAATCTTTCTCTCAGTATAACAAATATTTTCCTTTCTCACAGGGTTTCCCTGATTAAGTGCTGACTAGGACTCATGGCCCACTCTAGTTTGGACATTAGTTGTTTTTCAAGGAAGGCGATGAAATTGTGCTCATCAAATTACATCAACCTTAAAAAAAATCTGATTACCAATTAATTTAACAGCATTCATGGATACTACTGGACAGCAGAGCAAAGCTGAGGGAACAAAAAATGGAGGAAAAGATATACAGAATCAGGAGACAGAAAGGAGAGGGAGAAAAAAAATAAAATTGTAAATGGAAGTGGTGAGACTATTGACAACTGGCTTTGGCATCCTGAAGTCAGCTACTGAGACGGCCCCTGGCTGCCCCCTTGTGGCTGGTAGTACATCCTTCCTATCCAACACACTAATAAAATTTTATTTAAAATGACAAAGCCACCTGCACTGGTTGCGAGGCACTTCCCTGCCCCTTCCTTCCTAGTTTGGCAAAATGCTGTTATTCTTAGAAGGCAAATCCTCTAGGGTTCCCTATCACAAGCTATTTACAATTTGGCAATAGACAATCCTCTATGATCTATAACCAAAAGAATCAAGATTATCATCCCAGGTACCCTAGGCCCATTTCTCCCTGCGGAACTGGTAGCAATTTTCTGAAGCTTTGAATCTGACCTTAAATCGCACATACAAGTACTCTAGCACATACATGTTTCAATATATTTCATTGCCAACTACGCGTCAGGCCCTGAGGTACAATGGGAAGCAAGAACCGACACAGGCACTGCCTTCATGAAGCTTGGGGATCTGGGGCAATAAGTTATCACACAAGCACACAAATGTGAACAAACCTACCGAGATAAATACCATGAAGGAAATGAGAGGTTTCTCTGAGGAAGTGACGCCCCACTAACAACCATGCAAAAAGGGCTACACTAGTAGGAGCAACATCTTTTATGGCTTTTTCGGTTTACTGGGGCAACATGTTCCATTTGATCAGTTTCCCTAGTTTGGAAGGCAAGAAAAATGAAATTAATCATGGTACTTACGACGGTCTGAGAGTCCGCAGGAAGCCCAGGCAGAGCCGCCACCTCGCGCCTCGTCTAGGCTTTCTCACGAGGTCCGCATGCGCTCAGAAGGCCAACAGGGGGCGAGCGCGGGGGCGGGG